ACATTTCGTTAACCATACTACACAAACAAGGAAGTTAATAATTTAAATAAAACAACACATTATTTATGGTAATTAATTTATGTTAAGGGAAAAAAATCATCGGTGATTACAGAAAGACTCACACTTTTACTTTAACCAAAACTTTACCAGGTTAAACAATAATTCTCCACCAAAGTGATAGTTTGCTATTAGTTCTCTACACTAAGGCCTTGTTATAGGTCAAATACTAATAAAAAACAGTTGGAACTGCAACATCTGTTGTTGCAATCATTTTGTTTGGTTTTCCACAACTGCAAAGACTGCAACTTTGAACTCTTTATCTTTGCATATGTCTCCAAAAGAGGCAATGTCAAATTACAAATAATGTAGACTTATCACCAGTAATGTAACTAACTTCATTGCTACTAGATACATTTTCCAATTATCTTCATCCTTGAGTACCTATATTAACCTACTTTACCTCCTTTTGGCTCCACCAAAGTTTTCAATTTAAATTTTCATATAAGGTTAAAAGAGATGTAGCAAGTTTTGAAAAGACCAACTATCAGAAGGAAGCAACAAGTAAACTTTTAAGCTTCTCAAGCTGGATATGTTCAAATGACTACAGTCGTGAATGTTGACTTCTTTGAAATGTTAGTTGTTCATATTCTCCAAAGATATCCAAACCACTCGAACAGTTCTCTCATCTTATCCTTGATTGAAGTATTCTCCAACTTGTCATCAATCTAGTCATTCAGTAGAGATACACTCAGACATCTCAAAAGGCACAATCAAGCCATAATAGTTTTTTAATACGAAATTTCTTAACTACCCAACACTTTGGCTTAAATGGAGATATGGTAGGCCTGAAACATATTGTCTTTCATACTGATAGAGAGCTAAACAGCACATATAACTACAAAGGCCTTGTCCCATATAAACAAAGGAACTCAAAAATTGGCTGTCTTATAACTAAACGCTCTCAAAGATTATAGCTCGTCGCTGGATTTTTGAAGCCAACATCACAATTTGTGTCATCTATTAGGCCAATATTATAATATGTGTCAAACTTTTATTGTCAGACTTGTCAGTTTCCCATCGCGAACATCTTCAGCCCTCAGCAGCCAAAGGCATGGAACACCAGCAAAAACAAAGAATGAGTAACCTGAGAATCAAATGGTTCCTGGATCACCTAGGTTCCACCAAACTAATGTGATGCAAATAACAACAGATTTTCACTTTTCTCATCCTACGAAGTTATAACATCACAACTTGGTTCAGAAGTTGGAATACTAAGAAGCAATGGTAAAAAGAAGCACAATATTTTCAAGCAATAATCAGATAACAGAAATAATCCAAGAAAAATCCATCTTCTTAGGAAAAAGTGCATTCCCTTGGGACTAGGCATTAATGAGCATTCAGCATTATTTTAGATGTCCAAAGCAAGGTATTAAATTTCACCTAGTTGAGTACGATTCAGCAGTATTCACCAACCCAACTGCCGACCATGACGCAGACTGCTTAAAACTGCACAGTCCGGTTTGTTACGTATACTTGTTTTCTTTTGACCCCACTGTCATGGACAAAGTTCTAAACAGGATGTTTGATGTAATACTTATGTATGTCCGTGTCTTTCTGTTTATTCATATTTTACACAGCATATAGAGGAACGGTCGAAGACTTAACAGCCCCATTTTAGTTGGGTTTGGTGGCCTTCTTAGGCTTGTAAATAAAGTATGTGTCATGTGAACACTTGCGAGAGTTATTCAGCCTGTAGTGGACCATTTTGACCCTTTGTTGTGCAACCGTTCAGAGCTTGTAAAGTTTGTTTGTAATTTGCATTGTCTATGAAGTGTTTTCGGAAATGTTTGCTTGTGGATTCCGAGTGAGGCGCTTTCTCTAACCCATTTTCTCTTTTGTAGGTCCTAAGGGACCATGGGAGGTTTCAGAGAGGCTGACCTTTGCGGACAGACACGCAAGAGTGCCGCATGACTTAGGCAAAACCAACTAAGTCCGTGACACCACAATAGAGCTCATTGGGAGTTAGTATGATTCAACCAGTATTCACTGATCCAACTGCTGGCCAAGACACGGACCGCTTATAACCCGGCAATTCAGTCCGGTTTGTTACATTTTTTTTTTCTTGTAACCCCATGCTAGGACTCACAATGCAACACACCGTTAGGAGTTAGGAGTCAACTCTTCCCCGCCTATTGCCACCTAAATGCCTGCCATTGTCTGCACGTCCCCTGCTCACCACTCGCTCCATATACCACATCCTCCTCTTCTTCCTTCTTATTCTTCTTCTTCCTTTTTCGTTGTATTCCTTCTTCCTCCCCACCTCCCCCCCCCCCCCCCCCAACAATATTAAGGTATGCCGGAACGGACTGGACTCCTACCATCCAACCGTGAACTAGAATGGATCAGGTTGCCAACATTGAATTCTTTGATCCAAAGTCCGAACCCCCCAAAATAATATATGTTCTATCACCCTAAACTTCCAGATTTTGATAAATCAATCAAAGAATGTGTTGTGGTCCAGTGTAAGGGTGATTCTTCAACTAAATATGGTATGTTGAACTATCTGTGTTGCAACCAACAGAAGAAAATGCTTGTACATGTCATGGAGTTGAATTGATAAACAACAAAAATAAAATACTTGTATATGTCAAACAAATAGCAAATGTTCGAGAGAACAAGAGCAAAAGGAAGCATGATATTCTCATACAACTAGAGATGACAAGAAAAATTGTTTAGAGAAACAGGCTTCCTAGAAAAACACATTGATATGACTCTAGGAACAAATGCTTTTTTAGTCAAAGACATTTCACCATGCTATGTCTACTATCTTCTCTAGTCAAGTTTTTCTTCTCTACAATCTTTTCCTGACAAATACAAGTTAGCAAAATCAAAGTAAACCAAATTGCAAGCCTAGAGTATTCAGATTGTCAAAAAAATGCTGCAAGACTGAAGCAGCACCGTTGGACAAAAAGGAAGGAGGTAGCAAAAGAATATAATTAGACAGGAAAAGGATATAGAACACTGAATAGTCTGAACACAATGTCAGATAAAGTGATGGAGGACAATAAAGTTCTTCAATAGCACATTTTTCACTTCTCTCGATGTGCCAATGCTAACCCCTTGAAACAAAAGAACCATCAAGAAGAACAGATCTCCTTCTACCACTACCATCCTAACTAAGCAGTGTTTTCATCGCAATTACACCTTCAAGGTTGCCATATTTCCCAAAACTAAGTTGAACCGACCTTACTCAACCTGCCAGCTCATTAACCCTTTTGCCTCTTAATTTTACATATAGAAGAAGGATCAGGTCACATTTAGTGCCCAAATGTTTACAGCGTCTAACACAACTAAACTTGTCACAGAATAGCTTGACTATGAAAACACTCTAGCCAACTTACCATTTCTTTCTATATCTAAGCATACTGCAAGCGAAGGCAGGAAAATAGAATTAGAAAAACGGATCTCTAACCCTAACAATGTAACAACAATTCACCATCAACAATAAACAAAGAAGAATAATAGGCATAACATCAAATAGTCAATTTAGAATAAAAAATTGAAAACCTACATTACATAAAAATCAGCCACTTGAACAGGAAGCCGCCCAATCTCTCGAGAAGACCTTCCAAAGTCCCGAAACCTTATAATCCTCTAACCATGCTGCATTCTCCGATTTCCCCTCCAGAAGGAAGCAAAAGTCCCTCCTGTGGAGCCCGAGAAACCCAGAGAGTAGCTCAGATTCCAAAAGCTAGGGCAAAACAGCCCGAGATCTGATTCCAAGTCATAAGACGGGGTGAGTGCGTGCATCAAACGACACCCGCACCGGAGGATGTTCGGGGGAACTAGGTAGGCCGAGGGGCGCCGATTCTTGGGCGGATTCGGAGACGGGAGACGGCGTGGGAGGGCCGCGAGTTTTTAGGGCTTTCGCCGGCCGTTGAACGGGAGATGTCGCGACTCGACGCGAGGATTCGAGGATATCGCCACGACCCTCTCTCTCTCTCTCTTCGCTCTCTCTCTCTCTCTCTTTGGGCCCCTGTTCAAGGGTTTTCTTTTTCTCGATTTCCTTATCTTTGTTTTTAGTGCTAGTTATGTAGGTTTCGAAGCTACAGAAGAGTGCATCTGCGGAGGGGTCCGAAATAAAAAGAAGGCAATCAAATTAGTAACATAAATGCGACGAATACCAAACGTGGGACGCGGTAAGCGTAAGAGGTCAAGTCACCGCCTCCAGTGTGCGGGTCGGATCGTGCGATTTGGGTCTCGGCAATCGGGTTACGAAATTAGGGCTCCGTTAAGACAACGAACGGGCCGGATTTAGACTGGCTAAACATTCTCTCCAAAAGATCTTGCGACAGTTGGATGTCGACGGAGATTAAACGTACGGTTCACGTGATTTGCCCCGGTGCGAAGCATCAAATAAAGCTATTTGGATCTCCGCCAATTGGGTCACAAAATTAGGGCTCCGTCACGGCAACGAAAATGGGCCGGATTTAGTCTGGAAGAATATTCCACCTGAAAGCCCTTCCGGCCGTTCACGAATTGACATCATGATCTTGATTTCTGATCTTCTTTTTATAAAATTTTTATTATAACAAATGAGATACATTAGATGATGCTCATACCGGAATTCTTACATGATTTCTGATGTTAAATTCTTTGCATTAGAAGATTTATGTTCTCATTGCTTGTGATAAAAAACAAAGACTGCTTGAGATAGCAACTTTCCATTTTACATTAAAATATCATGACTCAAAAGCTTGTTTAAGATGGAACTTCACTGGTATTCTGCTTTGCAGTGCCCTGGGAAGGGATCCAGAGAGCAATACCATTAATTTCTAATCACTAGATATATGTTTTGAAGGACAGATCACTGAATATTAGAAAAAAATTAAGAAATTACACTTCATAAATGTGCAGTGGGAACAGAGTGATCTAAGGAGGCAACAGATTGATACAATACATAATTTCAATAAAAAAAGTGCAAAATCATACCCCACAGCTAGCTATTCAGGTGAATATTATTATCAAACTAGAAGCAAAATAGAAACCAAAATCACAAGAAAAAAGACAAAAAAAAAAAATCCTGTCGATGTCATCAAACATAGACATCCTAAGAAGCATAACTCAAGTCCATAGCATAACTATGGTGTTCGCAACTATTACTAAAGCTTATTTGGATCGAGCAGCAGGAAGTGACCAACAGAACTGAACATGTACTTGAGCTTTCAAGATCAGGACAGCCTCCTTTCATACTGAGAATGAGATTGTATGGCTATTCTTCTTCGACTACCACGCTGATTTCACCCTTCTCCAGCATGTCGTAAAAAGCTCTTGTTCTCCTCTGCTCATTCCAGTGGTGCATCTTCCACAGACCACCGGCAAACAGTCCAAGTGCTAGGCCAATTACAATCTCCTTGATAACACTAGGGCCTTTCAGGGTAGTGTGAGCAATTTTAGGAGAAGCCATCTGTTCTTTGGCAAAACACAACTGCCACAGACAAGAAATTATAATTGTTTGGCAGAAAAGTTATACCACGTTGTTCATGACACCTTATCATCATCCCATCTATGTCAAAAATTTAGAAGAAAGATGTATCGTAAAATAGTTGAAGAGTTAATAAAGCTAGGTAAGCATGCAAGAGAGGGAATATATGTCAAGAGATAGCACATAAGGGAAGAAGTAAGCATTGGCAGTGGATTTCAAGACATCGTTGCTAAAAATGTCATAGAACAACAAAAGGAACTGAGAAAAAGATAACAGGATCTGGAAACAATAATAAAGGTGCAGAAGTAACATCTTATGAGCCTAATCTTCAAAGCTGAAAAGATTACCAAATCATAAACTTTTTTAAAAGGCCTTCTTCACTGATAACCCAACAACCCACAACTCCCATCACCAAATTTAGCATCATAAATTAATGCTATTATCTACGACAGAATGCAAATGACAGGCAGAATGGCTAATGAGAGACTCTTAAGCTTGCCACAAGACTCATCAAGATGCGAAAGCATTATTGACTTGATCATTTCAACATAACCAAAATACATAAAGTAAACTGCAAACTTATATTATGGTCCATGTAGCTTAGACCAATGCCTCGTTGCACTACCAGTCTCTGGAATTCAGAGTAACTTGCCCCTTGTTTCTTCTCAAACTTCCTAGATTTCATATGAATCTAATCCTCAAATTTAGACAAGCTACCCATCTGAAAAAAATTCCTTATCATGAAGAAAAAATTTTCAAATCCCTTTTTGCTCAAGCTCACAACCTTGATCATATAAGACACAGAAAGTATGCTTTATGGTTAAATCTCCTGGATTATGACGATTAAAAGGCTTTGTAAACTTCAATCATGTTTTTAAGTTGCAATTCTAGCTTCTTACTCATCTTCACATCTCACTTGGATAACTTATGAGGAAGCTATTTAAAAGTCTGTTCTTGTTTATTTCTGAGGTCCACAATTGTTGCCACACAAAAGAAACATATATCAAAATACCCAAAAACAATTCTCCACATAAAATCATTATCTCTATCATATTTAAAAGCTTAAACTAGTGATATGGCAGAATCTATATTCTTATATTATTAATAATCCTCTTACATGTGAGTGGTAGATGGCTCAAACCCGATGCATGAAAATTAATCGAGGATCTTTGTTTATATAACCGTGACCTAAAAAAATTTGAACTCGGGACCTTTCGCTTCGATTCAATGTCATTAGGTCTAACAGCTTATGCATGTATCTGAGACATAGATTTGCAATCCGAATATTTGATTATTCATTCGTGTCATATAGCAACAGCATGATGTTGATCTCCCAACTTCCACTCATTACACCAATCGGAACCCAGCAACAATAACACCACCGTTCAATCACCAACCAAAAAGATCATCCCATAACCTACGACTTCACCTCTGACATCTCGACCAATTTGAGATAACAGAAGCAAAAGTTCCAATTGGCCAGCGCAACCCATTTCAGATCTTGAAACGACGAATCAGAAGAAACAGATTGGGATCTATTAGTGAAGAAAGAAAACCTAATCGGAGAAACAAACAACAAGAGAAAGGGCGGAAGAAGAACCTCGGAAGGAGATCGATGCTGGCTTCGTCTTACCTGTGACTGGTCCTCGCACGGCGGGGCGGCGTCGATCGAGATTGCTCGAGGTGCAACTCCACTGTGGGTACAATTAACGGAAACGGGCAAATACGATACGTTACCAAACCCGCTACGATCGTTTTTAACAGTTCTTGATCACGTTACGATGGATGACGGGGAATTAGAATCGAACTTAATTATTGACAATTTTAGGTTCGTCATCAACCATCGTTGTTTGTTACTCTATGATGGACATGTATGATTTTTCTACTAATTTTTTTTATTAATATGAGATTTAATATTTTTTATCAAACTTTGATTAATATGAGATTAAATATAATTGTATTTATACTCAATGATAAACTTTATAACACGATATATATTACATCAGTGAGCAACTATTATCCATCTATATTGATCAACCTTATAACTTCTATAAACAATAATTTTCATTTTAAAATTTCTCTTTATAACATATTATTGAAAGATCTTTTAAACTCTGAAATATCTTTAAATACTTATGAAATATGAAGAAATTAAGTGTCAAATATCTAAAACAATTTGTTTTAATGAATATTATCATATCAGAAAATTTTAGATTTCACGAATTCATACATATCTAATGTATAACTCATTGATGATAAGTTTATCTTCGTCTAGATATTGAGCCAAAGCATTAAAATTGAGATTATTTTCTTTCATAACTCTCCCCTCCAAAAGGTTTTCATAAAAATATGGAATTGTATCTCATGTCTACTTTCCCATACCAAAAGAAGCTTATTAGATTTGAAATTATGCAGTAGTAGATCTTTCAATTTAGTCTAGTATCTCATGACTACTAAAGTTATACGGAAGTATATCCTTCAATGTTAACTTATGTCTCATGAATACTTTCCAAAAGATATTGGGAAGAAACCTGTTAATGCGGAATAATTCTTTCCCTCTTTGTGTATCAAAATAGGTTCCTCATCG